ATATATATATATATATATATATATATATATATATATATATATATATATATCCAGAGTATATTGGATATACTCTGGGATTATCAACTTTCCTTACGAAGAGGAATATAATGGAAAGTCAGTTTACAATACCCAAATGGCGGTGAAAAACAACAACAAAGGATCCCTATGTATACCTTAGGGATCCCTGAAATAAAATGTCTGAATTTGTGTATATTTGAGAGCACTGTGTCGCTTCTCCTGCAGAGTTTCAAGACACATGACTCGGGAGAATTACCTGTTGAAACACCTAAGATGTTTTGAGATCCACTGAAGGAAATTGTGTAATTTGGGGAGACGTTTGCAGGTGTCAGGAGAGATGTTTTATGTGGGTCCTACTCTAGATGGTCCCCTTAAGGGGTGGGTGTAAGAGGTGGGGGTGTTGGGGTGGGTGTAAGAGGTGGGGGTGTTGGGGTGGGTGTAAGAGGTGAGCGTTGGGGTGGGAGTGTTGGGGTGGGGGCGTTGGGGTGGGGGGTGTTGGGGTGGAGGGAGGAATCCTGAACCTACCTTACGTAGTGGAACTCGATACGAGAAGCAATTGGAATGATCTTTCACTGTTGCATTCTCTCTCCCCAGTTACCTCAGGTCGGGTCATTGACTGTTATTTTCTCCGAGAGCTTAACTACCAGTCACTCTGGCACCAGTTCGCCACAGTCTTACCAAGGTAACGAGGCTTTTAAAGGCTTACGACTCACTGTAAGCCATTTTACAGTAATAAATAACAATTACTTTTTGGTATATTGTCTAAGTAGTTTCAATTGTTACGATCTCAATGAATGAAGGGAAGAGAACTATCAGGGTGGAAGCACCAAGCCATTACGACTATATACCCCCATGGAATTGGTCAGGATAAGGATTTGGGATGGGACGGGGGAGATAAGGAATGGTGCCTAACTAATTACTTCAACCACTTCCAATTCTGGAAGTTCTCCTGTGTCCAGAGAGGAATTCAGTGCTATAACAATGGGGGACAGCAAAGTGCTTATGTTTCATTCTTTAGTATTTAAGGGGATATCTTGCCTGGTTCTTCAACTTTTTTGTCACATAGAGTTCCTTCAGTCGCGTCCTTGCTCTTTCTGGAGTCACACAGCCGCCATCTCTGTGAGCTTTTCCAGTCGGGATGCTAATTCAGAGAGAGTGCAAGAATGTTGACCTCCAAAACAATATTTTCTGGAAAGTTTTCTTCGCAGTTCCTCACCTAGTTCGCTATCATTCTCTAATTGCTAGCAGGCATCTTTCTACTGGTGGGATCATGGCAACCTCGCCTTCATTAGGTTAGGATAGGTTAGATTAGGTTAGGTTAGGTTAGGTTAGGTTAGGTTAGGTTAGGAAATAGGCCAGGAGTCATTGCTTTAAACAACCGACGGCTTATAAGGCCCACTCCAAGAATACTGGTGGGATTAAGGAACAGTTTCGAGTGTAATTAATCTTAGATCATCCCGTTCTCGTTCTGCTTCTCCGCCCAATTTGCTAATTTATGTGTACTAAAATGACACATAAATCACACCTCCTCGTCCTTCTGTATCCGGTGTAATTTGCCTCTGGTCTGTGCTCTCTTTATTTATTCTGTGATGCTTCTCTATGTGTCCAGACACAGAACGATGCTCGACTTGCTTCCGTCAACCCTTAGTGGTGGTACAGATCTTTCTTCACCTTCAGGGAGTGTGTTATGTACTCCATTACGTCACAGTGTTCATTCTTGGATGTGTTCTTGAGGAAGAGAACACTTCATTGTGTTCTCTTTTTCAAGATGTTCCCCCCCCCCACGTGGTGTTCTAGTTACCTCTTTTTTACCATACAATGTTCCTGACACCATCATGCTCCAGACACCACTCTGCTCCTGACACCACCATGCTCCAGACACCATCATGCTCCTGACACCACTATGCTCCTGATACCACCATGCTTCTGACACCATCATGCTCCTGACACCACTATGCTCCTGACACCACCATGCTTCTGACACCACCATGCTTCTGACACCATCATGCTCCTGACACCACCATGCTCCAGACACCACCATGCTTCTGACACCACTATGCTCCAGACACCACCATGCTCCAGACACCACCATGCTCCAGACACCACCATGCTCCAGACACCACCATGCTCCAGACACCACCATGCTCCAGACACCACCATGCTCCCACCGCTTGAGTGTGGAGGAGCGAGCAACTGCTCAAGGTGCCGCTCTATAATCACGTTTGCCAGGGCGATAACAGATGAAAATGAGAGACAAATGAGAGAAAAGTGAGACGAAGATGAGGGTGAGATGAGGCTTCATGAGGGAGAGATGAGGTGGTGTAGAAGTCATAGAAGGAGGAGGAGAAGGAGGAGTTTCATGCACAATATTCCTCACCGTACCTCTCCTGCACTGTACTCATGCATGGTAGTGCAACAGTGAATGAACTGTGATATCACCTGGTGAATACTTCCTCTCTACTGTTCTGTTGACTTGGGACAGGCAGCTGTCCCAGGCTTCCTGTCCCGGGACGAGAAAGCAGTAATCTCGTCACCTCGAACTCTGTCCACAAAATAAACCTCTTCACAAGGAACAACTAGGATTCTTTCTCTACTTTCCCCACAGAATTTCTGACAGCCAATCACAATTGGGCATGTAAACTATGGGCCATTCTGATAGGTCAGTCAGATCTGATTGATCCAGGAGACCTGAGAGCTCAGATGGACGTCGAGTTGAATGGTCAAGTGGTCAAGTGGTCTGTTTGACATCCAAGCCGCTGTCAATTTCTTGCCAGAAAGTGTTGCTGGGAGAGCATCGTCTGCTCCTCGCAATACATGTAAATGATCTTCGCAAGTCGACATAACTTTTGGGTGACACAGTTGCCATCAAATAAGCATAAGTTTCAACTAGAAATTGTTCCCCATATGTTGACCAGACCACACACTAGAAGGTGAAGGGACGACGACGTTTCGGTCCGTCCTGGACCATTCTCAAGTCGATTGTTCACCATATGTTGACCAGACCACACACTAGAAAGTGAAGGGACGACGACGTTTCGATCCGTCCTGGACCATTCTCAAGTCGATTGTTCACCATATGTTGACCAGACCACACACTAGAAAGTGAAGGGACGACGATGTTTCGATCCGTCCTGGACCATTCTCAAGTCGATTGTTCACCATATCACCACGTTTCAACTAGAAATTGTTCACGATATCTTAATAAACATAAACGTTGTGGTGATAGTGGCTATCTGGTGTTATATACAGCTGATATCTTGAAGAAAACAACAGTAATTGCTTTCATATCTATGGTTCGCTCCGGTTCAGTCAGTCAGCTTCGACCAATCATAATTAACTTCGATTTTGCCCTTTGTCATTGGTTCCCTTACGTCACGTGACGTGGGTAACAGATGTGACGTCAGAGCCTTGTTCAGCGCCATCTTTTCCCAAGTTGAATTTACTCATGAGTAAAATATTTTACTCATGAAGGAAAAAGAGTCATGAATGACGCCCATAGGGTCAAGATAATGTCATGACTGAAGGATCCATTATAATATTACATATCATACATATGTGAGTACATACACACTCATACACACATATGTAAGGCCTCACGGTTGAGTGGACAGAACTCAGAGGTCGTAGTCCTAAGGGCCCGGGTTCAATTCCCGGCCGAGGCAAAAAAACAAATGGGGAGAGTTTCACCCGATGCTCCTGTTCACCTAGCAGTGAATAGGAACTTAGACAGCTGCTTCCTGGGGATGTACGTGTGTGTGTGCGCGCGCGCGCGTGTGGTAGAGAGAAATACATGTAGTACACATTAGAGAACAAATTATATCGTTTAGAAAGGCGGGGTCCAAGAGCTACAGCTCGATTCTGCAGACACAAGTAGTAAACAAATACAAATAGTAAATACACACACACACACACAAAGAGTACTGGGAAGACGGGACACCACGAGTTTAGCTCTCATCCTGTAACTACACGTAGGTGAGTACACACACACACACACACACACACACACACACACACACACACACACACACACACACACACACACACACACACACACACACAGACTGCATTTTCTTGGACTGTCAGAAAGCGTTTGACACAGTACCTCACAAAAGGCTGTTACAAAAGTTGGAGCAACAGGCAGGAGTAAAAGGTAAGGTGCTCCAGTGGATAAGGGAGTATCTAAGCAACAGGAAACAGCGAGTAACGGTGAGGGGGGAGGCATCAGAGTGGCGAGATGTTACCAGCGGAGTCCCACAGGGCTCAGTACTTGGTCCCATCCCGTTTCTAGTATATGTAAACGACCTTCCAGAGGGTATAGATTCATTCCTCTCAATGTTTGCTGACGATACAAAAATTATGAGAAGAATCAAAACAGATGAAGATAGACAGAGACTACAGGACGACCTGGACAAACTGGAGGAATGGTCTAGAAAATGGCTGCTAAAGTTCAACTCAGGAAAGGGTAAAGTAATGAAATTAGGCGAAGGGAGAACCTCACAACCCTGGAAAACAGAAGAGTAAGGGGAGACATGATAACCACCTACAAAATTCTCAGGAGAATTGACAGGATGGACAAAGACAAACTCTTTAGCACGGGTGGAACACGAACAAGGGGACACAGGTGGAAACTCAGTACCCACATGAGCCACAGAGACGTTAGAAAGAATTTTTTCAGTGTCAGAGTAGTTAAAAGGTGGAATACAGTAAGTAGTGTTGTGGTGAAGGCTGACTCCATACACAGTTTCAAATATAGATATGATAGAGCCCAATAGGCTCAGGAATCTGTACACCAGTA